CTCATATCATCGCCTATACGATCGGTTCCCTCCTCCTCAATCTTGAACCGTAGGAATATCCTTTTGGTAATTTCACGCAGTGATTTGTCGCAGATGTCTTAGTGATAAAATCATTATCAGATGCCTGAACGCCGCCATAGAGAAATCTCGCTAGACGAAGTTGATATGGACGGCCCAGCACTTGTTCATGTCGATACCGGAGGAGGTAACTTCAGTGCTGATCGCAGTCTTTTTTTTTTCGAAAAATGAAAGCGTCAGGTGGCTATGCATCCTTCAATTCAGCCGGCCACGCCCATGACCAAGACGACGACAATCCCACCGACAATGCTCCACCGCTCTTCAGGTATAGTCATGAGAGTTTTCGAAGCCAAATGAGCATCTCTTTCTAGCAAATATGGAGATTTCCACACAATCGACTGGCAACGCGATCTTGCTAGAGATCGCTTACGCCACAAACTCATTGTTGGTAAAAGGTTTGTATACTGACTTCTCTCATTGCAAACAATATTTTCATCCTAAAGCTAAAATATAGAAAAATTGAATATAGTCATTTTGAAACTTGTTTTCAGAGCGGATTTCCCGCTTGGCATAATCCAAAGTGCCTGGGATGCGGGAGCTGGATGGATATGCGTTTTGATGGTGAGGTTGTTTGTTTATGATTCTTCTTTTATAGACATGTTGAGGTGGGCCTTGCGGCCGGAGCCACTGCTGGTGTTATAGACATCGGCGCGCGATGGATGAGTGATTTGAAGGTGAGTAAAGTTATCTTGTTGAATTACTGCCTAATTCCTGTTCAGTACTTAATTTACAAGCGATAAGAACGCTGAAATTGTATCCAAAAGAAATTTTTTTGTTAATTTCTTAGTTATTTGTATCGTCGATTCGTTATACGCGAAACTGGCGCCGCTGAGTCCAGCCAAGATAGTTTGTGTATGGGAGAGACCTCAGACGGTAGGAGAAAAGAAAGAGCGCTCGATTAGGGAGACGCAGAAACGTCCGCAGCCTTTCCGTGCAACGAATCGCCTATACATATAGAAACTTATGAGCGATGAGTAACTCAGTTATGCTCTGCCTTATTTTCACGAAGTTCAAATTGCTCTTTTCGATTTGAAAAACAGAGCATGGAAGTGTAGAATCATGTTACTTTGACTCGTTGTCTTTTTCCAGGATGGCGTTTGTGCAGATCGGTTTTGGCTGGATCGAGAGCATTGTTGCTGGTCTTCGAACGACACTGTGTTCAAGGTAATTCGATTTTCTTACATTTTCATCTCATCACTTTTTGTGAAATCGATTTATCGATACTGTTTTCCCAGTAAAAATTGCTTAAATGCAGGACTCTGACTGTAGTGCATGGACCACCTGGCCGGAAATGCTGGACTACTACAATAGGACTCCTTTCTTCTACGTTTTGGAATTCATGTTTTATGTTGGTTGGGCTGTGTTAATGTCCACATTAGCCGTGCTATTCGTGAAGGTAGGGAATCATCTTTCTCAAGTATAGCCCATCGTACTCTCGTCTTTTTATAGGTGTTTGCACCTTACGCTTGTGGGTCAGGTATACCAGAAATCAAATGCATCTTGTCTGGTTTCGTTATCCGCGGATATCTCGGAAAATGGACTTTCATCATCAAGTCCGTCGGTTTGATCCTGTCATCTGCATCCGGTTCGTTTTTCTTTCTTTGTTGCTTTCCTTCTTGTTTTTAGCCTTGCTAGCCTTTTTATTTTTGTATCCAGGTTTGTCACTGGGTAAGGAGGGTCCAATGGTCCATCTTGGCTGCTGTATTGGAAATATATTCTCCTACTTGTTCCCAAAGTATGGCATGAATGAAGCGAAGAAACGAGAAATTTTGAGTGCCTCTGCAGCGGCAGGTGTGAGTGTGGCTTTTGGAGCTCCCATTGGAGGCGTCCTCTTCAGGTCGGTAACTAATCCTTACTGTATGCTCATTTTGATGGTTTGTCGAATTTTGATCTCTTTTTAGCTTGGAAGAAGCTTCGTACTACTTCCCGTTGAAAACAATGTGGCGATCGTTCTTCTGCGCTTTGATTGCCGGAATCATATTGCGGATAGTGAATCCTTTTGGAAGCGATCAAGTTCGTAATTAATTAGTCTTATGCTTTTCTGACGTACCTTATCCGTGTCATGATTATAGACGTCGCTATTCCATGTGGACTACATGATGAAATGGACGTTCGTCGAGCTTATCCCATTTGCTGGTCTGGGGTTGTTCGGCGGCATTCTTGGAAGCATGTTCATTTTTGGGAACATCAGGTTTGTGTCGCTGATTGTTGCCGTCTGTTACGCATTTTTTCTTTCCCATGTCGCATAGGGTATCGCATAAAGTCTGGCAATCAACCAACTCGTTGTCTAAAGTGTAGTCACAGACGGTTTTCATAGGCTGGCTCGGGAAAATTGTGACTGCGGCTCTCCACGATTACATGGCTTTCTGGACCAGCTGAGACCGGTACTGCGCTTAAAAAGTCGAAAAAGTGCTTTTTTGGTGTTTCCAGGCCTTGGAGATTGCTGGAGGGACAGGGCGAGGGATTCACCCCTAAAGGAGCAACTGGCTGCAGGAGGCTGTAACTCTACCTATTTTGGCGGCAATTGGACGATCAGTCTAGGTAGCCATCGCGATACAGTTTGCCGCCAAAATAGTGTAGTTACAGTTTCCTGCAGCCAGTTGCTCCTTTTGGGGTAAATCCCTCGCCTCGCCCCTCCAGCAATCTCCAAGGCCCGGAA